CAAGAATGTATTATCATCTATAAGCACGATCATCAGCAGATTAAAAAAGTTTACTCAATAGCACACATGGGAGTTTCCAAGAGTATGATGTTATGCTCACGTGCTGGTATCCACGTTAGCAGAGACACAGTGAAACAAATTGTCGCTGAATGTGATCAATACAATTCAATTGATTCTAATGTGATTTCGTGGGATAAAGGAAATCTTGCTCACTCAGCAAAGAGTGGGAAAGAGTAGCCTGCGATGTTCCTCACGTTGATTCATTGCTTTATCTTACCTGTATTGATTGTGGCCCAAGCAGATACACGTTGTGGACACCATTAGGCGACGAAAGTGCAACAATGGTTATTCAATCGTTAGAAACAATATGGTCATTGCTTGGACCTCCTTCCGAAATTCTCTTAGATAATTCTAAGTCGTTTAGATCTCAGGCTATGCAAGCTATGCGTTGAAGTGGGAAATAAGAGTTATTTATCGAGCTGTTGAAAAACCATCGGAAAATGGAGTTGTTAAAAGAGTTCATCAGACAGTAAAAAGAACAAATGCAAGAGCGAAATGTGGAATACCCATGTTTATCTTCTTAATCAACAACGTACAATCAAAACATGGCACACCTTTTGAAATCTTTTGCCAACAATACAAACGCGTCCGAATTCCTGGAATTGACAAAGTCGAATCAACAGAAAAGTCTCTGAATATGTGTCAAGGATGGAAAGTTGGCGATAAAGTGTGGGTGAGACCTAAGCATATGACGCCGTGTACACAGCGGTGGTTATAAGGAAGTATAGTAGCACTACATAATGGTTAACAGCTGAAGTTGAAGTCAACGAACATACGTTGCCACGACATTTTGCAGCATCGTTGTGTAGACAAAAACGAAGAAGATATAACAACTGATGACGATTACAATCCGACACTGGTTAAACCTATTGAAACGAACTTAAAACACGTCGCAATCAAAGATCCAAGTTCTCAGATAAATTCTCTGGACGACTGCGAAGATGACAACAGCATGCACCGCGCTGATCAAAATTATCCAACAAATTGTGAAACAGAGTTACAGTCTGTTCGGTTCACTCGCTATGGGAGAAGAGTACTTTCTAACCGGAAGTATCACGATTATATATGAGCTCTTGTTGAGTTGGGGGAGATGTTGTGATTTTCGTGTGCGTCAATAATTTGTCAATAATTAGCTTTGCTAATTATTGAAAAAAGTCACACGTTGCATATTTTTATTACTATAATGTTTTGCATAACGACCACTAATTGTTGACAAGAGTCACAAGTTGAATTATTAAATACTATATATAATGAACAAATTTGTTGTAAAAACGTTGAGATTGTTGATAAGTAAAAAAAATATTGAAAACAAAATAACTTCTAAATGCGTTGAACAACATTGCTTAAATTAAAAAATTAGAAAAAATATTTTCCCATGGTAAAATAAAAATGTTTTTTTATGGAATAAACTGGTAGGGCATTGACACCAGTATCCTGGGGACAAACATTGGTATGACAAGTCATATGGGATTGACCGATACGGGTTTGAAAAGTGGCGAAGAATGTCGTCAACTTTTACACTTTGTGCTGCAAACAGAGATGGAAATTGATGGCATGCTATGTCCGTAGTTCTCTCTGAAATTTTAAGACCTTTGCTTGTTTGAACAACTTGAAGAAATCTGTCTACTATCACACTAAAATAGGAACTTGTTGGTTTCAAACAGCTCTTATTGTCATTTCATTTTACAATCTGCGTAAGAGATTGCCTCGTTCGTATGTGACATTTCTTGATCCCTTGACAAGATGAGTTGTTCTTGTATTTATATATATATATATATGTATATATATATATATATACATATATATATATATATATATATATATATATATATATATATATATATATATATATATATATATATATATATATATATATATATATATATATATATATATATATATATATATATATATATATATATATTTAGAAAGTTAAGTAAAGTTAAAAACTATGAGTAAACTAACTCTGCACATTTTTTTGAGCAAAGCATGTTAATTGTAATTGACTTCATAAAAATTAAATAAAGGGTGGAAATAAAATTGAAGAATTTACACTCTAGTAATATACATAAAAGATCACTCGGTTCATGTAAAAAGCATGAACCAGATGATACTGAAAATCTGAGAATAAAAGGAATTCAGTATTTCAACAAATTCAACAAATTGTCTTCCAGTATGTTGAAAAAAATAAAATTATTCACCCATTTAATAAAATAATAGTTTTAAAGGAAGATATTTTGTATGAGGTTTTTTTATTAAGACACATCAAGATCTGTGTCTGAAACAGAGCCCCGAGGGCTCTGTTTCAGACACAGATCTGGGCTGTACTTAAATTGTGTTTATGGATTAAACCGCAATTAAATGAAAATTCTTTAAAAATGATATAGTAGTTGTTAAGAAAAAACTAAAGTTTAAACCTCGTCAAATTTTTAAGTATGATGAATCATAACGTACAAGGTGCTCCAAAATTGAATGTAATTGTAAAAATAAAAATGTATTGTAATTGTATGTTTAAAAGCATTTATTGCAAAAGATTGTATTGTTTCTTTTTTTATTTAAATTTTGGTAGCATTTAAAGGTAGCATTTAAATTATTTTTGGTAGCATTTAAATCATAGGTAGCATCTAAAGCCGAACAGTGCAAAATATGCCCGGAGCTCGCATTGAACCCTGGATCGTTTGTTTCTATAGCAAGCGCTTTAACCACTGCGCCATGGCGGCTCACTTTTATAATTCAGCTCAAGAAGTGTGAGGGTTAAAACAAAGTCTTATTGTTATCTGTAAAAAAGCATAAGCATATATCAAATTTTATATCAGTGTAGCAATAGTAGCTATATTTCAGAAGTGTGGAATAATGGAGAATATTATTTTTAAGACTCTTTTCTTTTCTATAAAAAAATTTATAACTAAAGACTTGCTTTTACAGAAACAAGCAACAATTTGTATTGCACAATTTTTTAGTGTGTGAAAAATTTACAAAAGAAGTCATGCAATCAAAAAGAATTAAAATAAACAGTTCAATCAAAAGTTCGGATTATTTGATGGAGAAAGGTTTATTTATTGGCACTAGCATCTTAATTAGTTTATGTTATTTCATAATTGGTAAACTTTTAACAATGCTCGTGTGGTTGAATATCTTTGTAAGATTTAAATTTCGTTTTTACATATTTAAATCAAAACAAACTGTTTTTTTTTTCTTTTCGCTTATTGCAATTTTTTCACTTTTTTTTCTATGTGTGTATAAAGTAGGGCCCTGCGAAGCTTCGAAGTCTCGAATCGAATCAAAAGTATGATTTGAGGTAAGATTCGAATATTTTTAAAAATCGAATCCTTACTTATTTTATTTTTGTTGTGGGTATTTTAGATATTCTGCGCTTTGGGGCAATCAAAATAACGTTACTTATCCTTAAATATCTTTTTAATCAGTCATTAAAAAGGTTAACCAGGGCAAGACGCATCAATAAAGAGATTATACAATTGTTTTATTTTATTTTAAAATATATATTATTAAAAAATATATGCTTAAATTTAGACTTCAAAATGTTGATTCGAAACGTGATTCAAATAGCGAATCAAGACCTGCTTTAATTCGAGATTCGATTCGAAACAAAAACTGACAATTCGCAGGGTCCTAGTATAAAAATTCCTTTGTGTTATCCTTATACAAATAAAAATCAACATACAAAAAAAAAAAAAAAAAAAAAAGAAAAGTAGATTTAAAAAGATTAAAAATCATTTTGACCAAATTTTTCAGAGTTGAAATTTAAGTTTTCTTAATTAATTAACTAAAAACGTATTTAGAAATATTTTTGTAAATGTGTACTAATTTTATTTTATCGCAACTTTTAAAAAGAAATTTATATAGATATTAACTAAATATATTTTTATTTTAAAAATATGATTTAATAGTCAAAGTTTAGAGAACTGGTTAATATTTTTCTGACCCTGTCAAATTCTTTTTGTTTAAGCCTTTACTCTCAGGTGCTTACAACAAAGGAGGGGTAGTTTGTTAACATTTGGAAAATATACCCACCATGAAGGGATAAGAATCATTAAATTCATTCGTTTATTAAATTTCACTTATTGCTAAAGAAAACTAATAAAAATAAAAACTTGGAATAATTTTTAAAATGTCAAAATTAAACTATCTGATCAAAATAAAAACTTTTATTGTAGGCAGCTTTTAAAAATTCACAAAGAATAAACAAGAATTCAAAAAGTTATTGAAAATTTTATTGAAAACTGAATAACTTGTATTGTTGTTGTTATACATTTTTATGCATTTGCATTAAATGCATAAAAATGTATAACAACAACAATACAATGCATTTCGATACGAGAACCCTTAAATTTAATTTATTCATTTGTTTTAATATATTGTTTGCGTGACGAAAGTAAAACGGTATCTTATTAGAATAGATCGAATAACATACCAACCTAGAAAAAATTTGCAAACAAAATAAATGTGATTTTTGAACTTAGTGGCAAAAAGTACAAAAATAAATATTGAAAAATCTGTGGGCACGACTTTAGTTACGTTGTGTAACAAAATTATTATTTGCTTCTCATAAAAAAATCATCGCTGAGGACAATAAAAAAAAATTGTTTATAAAGAAAAAACCTTAAAAATTCTATAATCAAGGAAAATTTATATATTTACTCGATTAACAACTGCACTTATGTTTTAGTATTTAAATGTTTCCAACTTGATTAAAACTTTAACAAACAGTATACAACTTGCTCGGCAAGTTATCATTTATGTTATCACAATATTAAATATTAAGACACCTTTTTAGCATTCTTACTCAAAACAGGTGGCTCAATAAATCTATAATGCCACACCTGTCAACAATAATTAGGTCTCTAGCATAGAATGGTTGCGGACATCTTTAGTTATATAAGTTATTTTGAACAATAGAGTTACTTAGTAAAAAATTTAAATTTAACCTTACAAAATAATTTATTTCCGTAGTTTCCGTTTTACAAATCTTTTTTTACAAACAATTTGAAAAATAAAAATATTTACAAATTCACTATTTACCATTTACAATCATTATAGTATAATACCAATTTAACAAAAACAACCAAAAGAGTCGCCAGAATAAACAAAGCATTATTATATGTCTATACTCCATTTATAAAAAATAAAATAAAAATCGATATCTTGAAAAACAGCAATAAATTATTTTGACTTTTTAAAAAATTACGAAGAATGTTATTGAATCATTTAGTAAGGGGGTAAAAGAAATAAAACCATGAACAAATAATTCAGAATAAATAAAGGTCCATAGCCATCGCTTAATTGAATTAAATAAAAGTCTATTTTTTCGAAGAACGCATTTCATTCTGCAGTTTGTCAATCTCACTGCCTAGAGTATCTAAGTTTTCCTATAATTAGTTAATATAATAATCAAACACAGATATATATATATATATATATATATATATATATATATATATATATATATATATATATATATATACATATATATATATACATATATATATATATATATACATATATATATATATATACATATATATATATATATATATATATATATATATATATATATATATATACATATATATATACATATATATATATATATATATATATATATATATATATATATATATATATATATATATATATATATATATATATATATATATATATATAAGCATATATATTGATTAAAATAATACGGCGTACTGATATTCCTATGTAAAATTAAATTTTGATTTGAGTTTCTTTTTTGTATTTTTAATTTGAAAATGTTTTGGTAGTACAACTGAGACTTTTATAAGCATTATACAGTTTATTTTTATAGTATATAGTATAGTTAGGGCCGCCGAGAGCTGTCACGCCGCCTGGGACAGCAATCCTAAATGGCGCCCTTATTTATCAAATTTTCCCTATATTATATATGAAGGACCCTTTTTTTTTTAGGTACCTACATTTCATATGGCGCCCCTTGGATATCTGCCGCCTGGGACAAACTGTCCCTCGCGACCACCCCCTCTCGGCGGCACTGAGTATAGTTTGTAATTTTGCGCATTTTATAGTTTATTGTAAAAAATTGCCGGTTTTTTGAGAATGTGTTGTAACAACTGTATAATTCTCAAGGTGAATAATACTCACATTGTAAAATTAATATCAGTTATCAAAATATCATAAAGTTTGTTTTTGTAACGCGTCCATATTATTGATACTCAGTGAGTATGCATATTATATATGTGATAAAATGAATTATGTGGTTAATTTTTTGACCTTTAGGAAATGTTTTATCTTAGTTATTATTTGAATTAATGTTGTTAAATAGTCTAAATACATGTTCCTTTTTGTTACGGAAAGATAAATTCAAAACGAAGAAACAAAAGAAGCAGAATTTTATTCAGTATATCCGAGACTTCGAATTTTATTTGCTTATATACTAGACACTTTTTTTATAAAAAAGATTCTAATCACAAATACTTTTTAATAATATGCATTTGTTTTTATTTTTAATAAAAGTACTAACATTGAGTGATTATACATCTAATGTGAAAACTAGACATAATTTAGCAACTAAATTGTCTAATTTTGTTAGAAAAGGTAAAGATTTTGTTTTGTCGGAGGTACCCACAAAAAGATAAGTAATTTAACAGGGAATTCTTCTAAAGGTTAGCTTTTAATTTTTTTTCAGAACTTTTAAAATAATTTCAAAAGAGATTATATTAAAAATATATATTCACTTTATGTAAATTATTTGTGAAAATTAACTAAACTTATACCTACCTTTTAGGAAAGAAAAGAAACAGAGTTTGAATGTAGAAAACATAATTTTGTTACAAAAGAACTAAGCAGAGAACTTGCTAAACTGGTGACAGCTCAATGGTTCAAAGCAAATAATCAGGCTAAACCACCAGTTACAATTTGGGAAAAACTCGCGGAGAGGCTATGGATTAAAATATCCAGGTTTTTGAAAAACAAAAAACCAAAGAAGCAACTAATAAAATAATTAATGATCTCAATAGTCTTTGATATCATAGCATGTACTCATACAATCAATATATGCACAGAGGCAGCATAATTTTGCAAGGATTCCAAAAACTGCAAGATAAATACACATGTTTATTGTTAATGCCCTCTATTACAAAAAAGTTCCTGTACTAGATCTTCTTTGGCTTCGCAATCAGAGGCTTGAAAAGAAAGAGATTTCTACTATGCAAATTGATTTATGTGATTATAAAGAATTAATTGGCTACAGAGTAGAGAAAAAAGAAAAAACATTCAGGGAGCTGAAAGAAAAAGGAAAAAAAAAGAAAATGAAAGAAAAAATGAGTTCGATAAATTTCAGGTTAGTTAAATGACAATGATTGAAACTAAAGTACGAAACAAAAACTTTGGTCGACAAGTTGCTTAAAGAAAAACTTGGAAGATTGGCAAAATACAATTATTGAAGCTAATAAATGTAGTAACAAAAATATAATTGGAATTGCGTATGATGGAAGAAAAGACTGGACCAAAACAATATTTCCAGATAAATATGGAAAACCTCACCCTAGAGTCATAAAAGAGGAGCATATAAGTGTAACTTGGGGGCCAACTGGACGCTATCTTGCTCACATCACACCAGAACTTGCCATTCATCTGGAAAAACCTGCAAAAAAGATAGCTGAAGCACTTTATGAGGTGCTTCAAAAAAAATTCTACTGAATCACGCATAGTAATAGGTGGAGATTCAACTAATACCAACACAGGAAGGTTAGAGGGAATTCATAGCCATTTTGAGAAAATGTTAGAACATAAATGCTATTGGGAGATTTGCATAAAACATACAAATGAACTCAAGCTAAGACATTTAATTATATCTTGAAGGTCCAACAAATAGTAAGAAAGGATTTACAGAATCAGTTTGCAAAAATCATAAGTATGTAAATATGACAATAAATTATAATTTTCAACCCCTGTCAGATGGAGAGGAACTTCCGAAACTTGATGAGAAAGGAATAAAAAGCTTATCCACTGATGCTTACAAAAGTTATAGGTATGTAAATGTTATCAAATTAGGAAAACTTTCTCCTGATCTTGCAAATCTTAAATGATGATCACTATCTCATTTTCGCTTGCATACAGCAGGTATGGCTTTGATGTTTTTGTGAACAAGAAACCATAACATTAAATACAGACCTGGAGATCTTAAAGATATTAATTGAGTTTAGTGTGAAAATGTATTTTAAATTTTATTTTAAAACTTCTAGTAAACATTTGCTGGAGGACGGACCAAGACACATTTTGCTTGAACTTAAAATTATTAAGACACTCCCAGTCAATGTGGTGAATATTATCACACCATACTACATGGATTGATAAGTTCCCCGAATGGGATTTATGAATCATCGCTATAAAGATAAAATTTATATGTACGGCAAGTTCAGACCTGTATATGATTACTATATAAATTTTAAGTCAGTTTATCATCTAGTTTTGTGTTTATAGCAAGTGAAGTAAAATAATCTCGATTTTTTTGCTGATATGGAAAAAACTGAAATTCGAGCAGTGATAAAATATTAGTATTTAAAAGGCCTAAAACCTCAAGAAATAATAAATGACTTCAATAAAACTTTGGGTTCCTCTGCTCCATCGAAAACAACTGTTTACAATTGGTATAACGAATTCAAACGTGGTCGTTCAAGCACAAGTGACACAGAACGTTCAGGAAGGCCAAAAGAGGTCACAACTGAAGATATGATCGAGAAAATTAATGATATTGTGATAGAAAATTGTAAAATCAAAGTTCGTGAAATTGCTAATCGTGTAAACATTTCTTATAAACGTGTTTTTAATATTTTACACAAACATTTGGAAGTGAAAAAACTTGCTGCCAGATGGGTGCTGCGCGTGTTGACTGTTGACCAAAAACGCAACCGAGTGACGACTTCTCAACAGTGTTTGGACATGTTTAATCGCAATCCATCGGAATTTTTGCGTCGTTTTATTACGACGGATGAAACGTGGATCCATTACTACACACCCCAGTCGAGGCAACAATCAGCACAGTGGTTAAAACTTGGGGAAAGTCGACCAAAGCGACTGAAAACACAGCAATTGGCTGGAAAGGTGATGGCAAGTGTCTTTTGGGACGCACGTGGCATAATATTTATTGATTTCTTAGAAAAAGGAGACGATCACTAGAGAGTATTATGCCACCTTATTAAATCGTATACAGGATGAGATTCAGAAAAGCGACCACATTTGCGGAAGAAAAAATTTTGTACCATCATGACAATGCGCCATCTCACACGTCATTAAAAGCAATGGCAAAACTTGATGAGTTAGGATGGGAAATACTTCCCCAGCCAGCTTATTCGCCAGATTTAGCACCCAGTGACTACTTTTTATTTCCTAATTTGAAAAGATGGCTCCAGGGAAAGAGGTTTGCAACAAATGAAGAAGTCCGAAAAGAAACGAATGGATATTTTGAGGAACTTGAGAAAAATCATTTTAAGAAGGGAATTGAAATGTTGAAAGATTGATGGAATAAATGTATTGTTCTAAAAGGTGATTATGTAGAAGAATAAAACATATTTTTCCCTTTTAACTTATCAATCCATGTAGTACATACGAACTGGGGTTTGGTACAACCATAGTGAGTGTATTCTGGTTTCATTCTTGACTAGCTCTAACAAAATTGAAATAAAGTTTGGTGTTAATAAAATTTTACAAATTAGAAAATTGTATATTTTGTATTTTATTTATTTTTTATTCAAAACGGTAAAAACCTGTAAAAATTAGAACCGCTTCAAATGAGAAGTATATTTTTAATAAAATATTTTACAAAAAACTTTTTTTTAAATAGTTATAAATCTTTTAAAAATTTAAAAATATGAGGTCGAGTAATTTTTTGAATAAAAAAACCATTCCCCTACATTAGGGATGATGATATAAATTCATTTGTTCAGAGGAGGGCAAGTTAGGGAGGGGGAAGGTGTTCCTAGGTTCTAATCATTAAGAAAGTTTAACTAGTTTCTGACAAAACAACATTATTTGACATAAGTGTGAAAATAAAATGATTTAGAGTTTACACTTTTCTAAAAAAATTTAAAATGTTATAATTAATGATATAATGCATATCTAAAAGTGTCAATTGTACAACCAAAACTACAAAAAAATAATATGTACATATATATATATATATATATATATATATATATATATATATATATATATATATATATATATATAAATATATACATAGATATAATAATAATAATATATATATATATATATATATATATATATATATATATATATATATATATATATATATATATATATATATACAGAGAGAGAGAGAGAGAGAGAGAGAGAAAGAGAGTAAGGGAGATAGAGCATATTGTATCATTCTGCATAAAAAGTTTTAATTATTTAAAACTAAAACCTTTAACATAATATTCTTTAATATTGTATCTTCAAGGACAGCTTGGAGTTTGTTGTTTATTTGAAGTGAAAGCTCTAAAGTCATGGCTTTGTCATTAGGTCGAGCAGAATATACAGATGCCATTACTCCACCATGCTGACTAACTTTAGCCTAATATATAAAATAAATAACTTTTAAATAAATATATATTGATTCATTGCTAAAAGACATTTTGATTGTTGCAGTAAAAAACCTTTTAATATACTTATTTAAAAAGACATAAAACTTTTTTACATAAAAAAAAAAGCATTAGATGGACAGAACTCTTTCAAAATTTGGAATCAATACACAGTTTTTATTTAAAACTAAATTAATAAAACAAAACAACTAGGCTGGAACCAACAACTATTACAGAAAAGATGAAGTATATATATATATATATATATATATATATATATATATATATATATATATATATATAACAATAAAGCTAACAAGATTAACAAACAACTTATAAGATTGCAAATATATGAATCAGGAAAACTAGATGAAGGAAGCGAATTCCAAACAACTGATATTTGAGGAAAAAAAATTAGATTTTTAAAATTAGCACTTAGGAACAGTCAGAGTAAAAGGATGAGGTTTGGATGAAATTGAATAAAGAGCAACAGAAGAATGAATTTTAGTAGATGGCACAAGAGACGCTAGCTCTTTAGAGCAGTGCCCATTATAGTATTTATAGAAAATAGAAAGAAGTAACATTAGGGGTCGCCCATAAATTACGTCACGCTTAGGGAGGGGAGAGGGGAGGGGTAGGCAATTTTGTAATGATTTGTTATGAGGGTGGGGGTGGGGATGGGGGGAGGGAGGGTCTTGATTTTGTGGCATAACATTTTTTTTGTTTTTTTAGAGAAGACATTCTTTTAATAAAAAGAGTATCTAACCAAACTAAAACACTCAGTTGATGTATCTACATGTTGATTGTAATATTAACTACGCCTAAATCTTACTTAGTCGATGTGTACACTCCGTTACAGTTACAACTTGTTAACAGACTTTTATGGCTGTTTGTGCAGTGCACGTTCTGCGTTTTGAATTTATATTGTTCAAGTGCAGAACTTTATTTAGTTGGTGCACAAAAGTGTGCAGCAACAAAAAAACAATCTTTGTGCAATAACTAAAAAAAAACAAAAAACTTTCCGATACCGAGAAACGAACCTTGAACCCTCGGTATATTAGCAGGAGGAGAAATCCACTCGACCACGCTTGCGTTGCTAGTTCAAAAAAAATTTATATATAAATAAATGTTTTTGCATGTATAATATGTTATTATTTATTATATATGTTATTTATATATATAATATTTTGCAATATTTATGATCTATATATATAAAAATCTATATTTGTGATATTACATATCGGAAAAAAAGATTTTTAAAATTGGTATCATGTATCATTTAGGAGAGCGATGTTAATTTATACAATTTTAAAACGGAACTATAGGGATGAAAATAAAACATGAGGGGTGGGGATGAAGGTCAAAAAATGTCAAAAAATGTGACGTAATTTATGGACAACTTCTTATGAAAATGTGACAATGGTTGAATGTTAGCTGCAAGTGCAGGTCCAACTATGTTTACAATGGGTTTTTGCATTTTGTCTAATTTAAAGATCGGCTTCAGATATGACAACAGTATTCCATACAAGGAGGGATTTGAGATATATATAGATAAAGAATAGAATCTGTAGTAAAAAAGTGGCAAGCACGATAAAGAGATGGAACTATAGCAGATGTTAACTTTGCAATGGATTTGATATATGGTTTCCAAGAAAGATCGGAAGTAAAAGTTAATCCTAGAAGATGAATGGTAGATGACTCATTGAGTACATTACCATTCATAAATATAGAAAAATCTAGGTTATTCCGATAACAATTAGCTGAAAAAAAATTAAGTTTTATCTGAATTAAAGTTCACAAGCCATTGAGAGCCCCATAAGTGGGATCCTTTTTAAGCATGAATACCCCCTCCAGCCTCTAGAGTGTCAAGGCACTGTTAGTAATCTGATACTTTAGAACTGTTAATGGAATAAGAATCTCTGAGAGCTACAACAAAGTTTAGGATACCTGACTACCAGCCAGCCTTACGAACCATAAAACTGAGTTTTAGAGCTGTACCCTTATTAGGAGATAATAAATGAGTTGTCTAGTCATAAAAATAGAGACACAAGTAAAACCCACACATTAAGTCAAGAAAGGTGAGCATTCAACGCCTTCAACTGGAAACAATGTATTATAAATACATCTACACAAGCCTATAAATAAAGAAGGTGCCAAGCTGGTCAACAGATAGAATCTGTTTACCCCTTAAATCTTAAGCATAGGAGGCTTTCTAAAAGACAGTAGCCGGATGCATTTAATGTCTGCCCAAGATGAGTACTTTTATCGAGACACCATCTCTAGTCTTTACTCAACCAAGAGCCCCAAGACAGGTGGTGTGTTTTTTTTTTGGTTGCAGACAAGCCCCACAGTATTTAAAAAGTTTTTTTAGCAAAAAAAATGTAGATAGAGGCATCTCAAAATATTCTGTGCTTATTTAAAGTTATAAACTTGGATTTCCTTTAATACTAAACCCATTTTCTTGAATTGCGAGTTGAGGTTTCTTTAAGTACTGCTACTTTGTCTCTTATTGTGCAAGGCAATGTGTATATCTAAAACAATAAAATATGTTTAATTCATAGGCCTACAATATTTAAAGTACATCCCTTTCAATACTTACTACAGAATTTGTGTTAAGTAAGAGTTACCTCTACAAAAACTTTTGGAACAAAAAAGGGAGAAACTAAACTATTTCATTCTTTGATTGACAACTCTATGTTAGTCAGGCAGTGGTTGGAAAATGTGGCAAATAAGATTTGCATCTTTTTGTCTAATAAAATAGTGCCATTCCATGTAGTTGGATCTTGAATGATGCTTTGTTTAGGCAGTCTTAAAATGTCCAACAATCACCTTAAAGGTTTAATTGAACTTATTAAAAGCATAAAATGTCCCACTATTTTTCAACAGGTATCAAGTGGCAAAGAAATACATTCATTATTGAGACAATCATCTTTGACAATGAACAGTGCCATGCAGTGTAAGTACAAGAAAAAGAATGTTTAAAATGAATATATATTATATAAATTAAAACTTCCCTACTTCCATAGCAGTAACAATATTTCTGACATTATCTCTTGCAATTACATTGAATTTAGTAAAATTGGCAGCATTGAGGGAGTCATTATGGAAAGGTACCATGAAGTAAGTGACCATTAAAAATTGGATTGAAATTTGAATAGGACTGGAGTTGGGTTTGATAAAAAAAAGCCAGGGACGGGTTTGTGGTTGGGGCTACATAAATATTGATATGGCCTAAAATTAATTTTTTTTATTCAAAACTTATGTTCTATTTTATATATGTATATTTATATATAAACATCATCATGAATAACATCATCATCACCATCATCATCATCATCATCATCATCATCATCATCATCATCATCATCATCATCATCATCATCATCATCATCATCATCATCATCATCATCATCATCATCATCATCATCATCATCATCATCATCATCATCATCATCATCATCATCATCAAGAAATAAACCAAGCATTCTCTTTCCGTAACCAAAGCTCATTCATACCATATACAATGCACTCTTTCCAAGTTTTCTTACTTTTACCTTGATTTATAACTGAAGTTGCTATCTACCTCTTTGCACTAAGCCTCCCAAACCAATTTAATCTTTTCTGAAAAACATTATTCAATACTGTTTTTTTTTCTAATATTTGTCTAGGATTGTGGCTCCTTTTCTGGTCATGTTAAAGTCACACCATATATTCATCTGATCATCATCTTCTCTTTTGACAAATATTATACCATATAAATATTTAAGTTTAAATAAACATGTAAGGATATTGCATGACAACATATAAGTAGCAAACTTATATGTTTATATCCATATTATGTATGCATAATTGCGCCTCTTACATAACTTCCTGAATTCAAGAAGGTATGGAAGTTTTTATTTCTTCTTGCCAGTTTTAAGTCAAGTCTCATTCTACTTCACCTTCTTGGGCAGTTGCTATATTTAACCACAATCATTTTTTCCATTTTTTTACAAGAGCATCTCTCCCAAGAACAATTATCTTTTTATTATTGCAAGAAGCCAATGTAAAAAAGTTCCTGTTTAATGCTAAGCTTAATTATACTCAGTTTACTAAATCTTGTATTTTATCTCAGATATCTAGAGATCTTAGGAAAATCATCAACAAAACTATTTGCAGATTATGATATTTTTTGTTTATTAAAAACAAAATGGCCAGTATAATTGTTTTAGTACACTTGTATCTTTAAAGTCTTTGAACGTAGTAATTAACTAGCTATTCCATCTCTAATAACATAGTCTTACAAAAGTTTTCTTCCTCAACTCCCTTCAAATCTTGCTAAACTAATAATAAGTACTAAATAATTCTACTATTTAAAACCTTTCCAACTATATACGATCTTCTCTCTATTAATTATTTCTTTATAAAAAAGTATTAAGATTATAAAACCACTTTTTTTTAACTGCAGTATTCATTTCGGCCTACACTCTACCTTATTTCATTTTAGGTGAACCACAAGGTTCTATCTTTACTCCTGTACCTTTACTCTGTTAACTCCAACAAAACACAGTTAATTACTGCTAAAAATTGCAATATTGTTGACATTCCTATATTGACAAATGACAATAACCCTCAGAAAAGGTTCAAAAGCACATTATAAATGTAGTTAGACCCAGGGATACGGAGTCCCGAAACAACTCATCTCTACTTTTTCCAAAAACTAGGAAAAGTAATCTTTTTGTGGCTTTCAAATCTGGAGCCCTTTTTGGGATCTTCATGATTTGACCTGCATAGTTTTATCTGCCAAGCATGTGCTATACTATTTTTGTAAGATTGTATCTCTTTCTTTCTTCTACAAATACTATTATGGATGCTGCTCAAATAAGCAACCACCTCTACTTCAAACAATCAAAACTGATTCTTGCTTGTCATTAAGTTGCATCCTTTTACTGTATCTTTCCCTTCATACTATAAAATTTTTTATTAACCTGGTTTTTTGACTCGCACTTTAAAA